GTACACACAATCTGCAAATCACCCTTTATACACTTACACAATAAGTGATTAATGTAACTACATGTAGTAGTAGCTGACCAGATGACAACACTGGGTTTGCTACAAGCTCAAACCTTTCCCATGGCAAACTAGAGGTCGGAGATCTCATGTCTTCGTCAGAGGTACCTCGTTCTAGAGAAATTAACATGCGTATTCTTCACTCTTTTTAACAATCAATTTGGTCTAAAGAACAAAAGAATCTCTGTACTATTTTCATGGTACAGAACACCCTGAAACGGTTTGCCGCAGATTATACAGATGCGTCGTCACCCGTGTTAGCCCCACCCCCTACGTTATTTGAGTTTGGACTGTTACTGAAAAAAAAAACGTTCAAGAAATTCTTACTGTGTTGAAAGTGTCACGACAGCGCCGCAAAATACAATAAGAGATTGCTGAAGATGTTATAAAGGAAAGAATCAAAACAGGGTGACTACTGCTGTTTTGTTAATTTGTCTTTATGACAAATAGAAGACTTGTTTCTTGTGTTCTTTGTGGCCTAACATTTGTACTTCTACAGTTAGTATATTCCAAATCTAGGCATCTCGTTTTTCGGCCCTTCGTGTTTTTATTGCGCGCTTGCCTTAAATTTAAGGTAATTAGATTTCATTTATTTCATTTATTTCGAAACCTTTTAGCCCCGAAGGGCTAATCTTCCAAGGCTCAAACATTATAGCAATTACAACATAGTGGAAACATTTAAGAATACATACATACATACATGTACACCACGTCAACAATAAATACACATAGATATAAACAATTTAAAAGTGGCGAGCAAGGGTCAAGGAACAGGTGACACTACTACTGTTTGAAACGGCTTTCTTAAAACTGATAACATCGCACAGTGTCTTAACGTCAGATGGTAGATCGTTCCAGAGCACGACTGCACGATACAGGAATGAGCGTTTTCTGCTGTTGGACTTAGGTATTGGTAATCTAAAGTTGTGTGCGGAAGATCTGGTATTATGACTGTGAGATGCATGAACAGGCAAAAGGGAGTTGTAAATATTTTGTGGTTCGTGACTCGTGAGGATCTTAAAGATTTAAGGTCTCCAGTGGACGTCATCCATAGCAATTACTTGGTGTGGCCGGCCGTAGAAAATAACCTGACATATGTCCAACCTATCCTCCCCCTGCTGAAGTTATAGTACAATCCCTCAATGTAACGTCATTTGATCCCATCCCATTATGGGGTTCCCTGCCTATATCCAGCTGTCGGCTGTCTCCAAGCAGATGTAGGTGGGGGATTTCTAAACACAAAAGGTCCTATTACGGGGACATAACGACCTCCACGACTCTCATCTTTGAACTCAATCTTGGAGATCATTACAGTAACATGCCTATCAAATTTCATTAACTTCCATCCACACATACAAAAGTTATCCTGCTCACAAGAAAAATTAACAAAATGCCCCCTGTAGTCACAACGAAACCCCCCACGAAGCTCAGTAACGAACTTAACCTTGGTCCCGACAATAGTAAGCACCACACCAAGAATTATAATCAACATTTGACAAATACTTGAGTTATCTTGCTAACAAGCCACAAACACAAAAGGTGCACTAACGTGACGCACGGACCCTCCACGAAGCCGAAACTTGTACTTGACTTCGGCCTCAACAGCGGTAATCTGCCTGCCAAAAATCATGGACGTCGAATGATGCCTTCCAGAGTTATATCGCAAAATCCGCAGTTCCACACACTCCGGCGAGACAATTTCATAGTCCTTCTGACGAAGACAAATAGCAACACATTCATCCAAGCTGCTACAAACTCAGGTCTCATGTTTCACTTCAGAGCCTGTTCTATAGTATGCAAATGAAGGAGGTCCAGCTACTTGTCTTTGAGCAAGTTCTCAATGAACATTGTTTATTCCATTCAAACTTTTACTACTAGAGCTAAATTTTCATGTTTATGGTAAGATTTTGGACTTTTTATGAGAGTAACGTAGTTTGTAATGCTAGAATACATTGTTATGTGGTGTTGTTTTTGTATTTTTACTGGAAAAAGATAATTTTGAAAAAGACTTAGGCTTCAATCTGAAAATTGATATGAGGGCGCTGGTTTGTTACATGAGGGGCAGCGCCCCTGTTCCCCTGTTCAGAAAAACCCCTGGGTTGTGTTCTGGGCCAGGGCCTGTTCTGGGCAGCCTCTCACCAGATTGTCTTCTCCAGAGACAGAAAGCCATTGATGAGTTCTAAGCACACAAAGTCCTGCTGGGATTCTTGCAATGGTTCTGAACTCGCCTGTTTCCAGGATCAGCTCAAGGAAGCTGCATGAATAAAGCCCTGTATAGTACATTCTTGTCCTACATGTATACATTGTAGGTACAAGAGAAACAAGTTTACAGACAGCTGGTTGACAGTACAATGTACTGTCCAGTAATCTACAATGTACTAATCAGTACACATGTATATGGTAGACTAGTGATGTTTTAGCTAAAATTATTTGATTTATCATTAACGAAGATAAATTTGGGCTTGGGATTTTTTGTGTTACTCATACATATTAAGCATTGCCTGGGGAATTAGCATTGTCGACCTATTTCATATATTATGATATTGTATTATTGTTGTTATAATGTATGATGGTTATTTATATTGTTTTTAAATGTCAGACCCAGGGATAAAGTACCTGAAAACAGGTCACATGTGGCGCACATGAGTTACTTGCCCTGGTTAAACAAAAATTTGGAGATTTCATACCTCCATGAAATATGTAGAGTTTATATAATTGTTTTTTAGGGGATTTGTCTCAAAAATAAGATCATTATTACTATAATCTAGTTATATTTATGGTTTTCTAAACTCATATTACATATTGATTTGTTGAATTCCTATCTTTTGGCAATATATAAAATGAAACATTCTACATCACTAGAAAGAATGCCCTATTACTGTCATCTAAACTAT